GAAAGAGTTGAGGATTCGCGCACCTGGTGACACGCTGCAAAAAGGGGAACCCTGTGTAGGAGGTGAAGCGACCTGATTAAGAGTGTGTGAATAAACACGATTCACAATACTAACTCAAGCCTACAATCCATAACTAATGCCTTAAAAATGAGAACATAATAACTGACGTGGACATCAAAATTTTGTGCCATGGAAGATAGTTATGAAGGCACATTTAAAAATTAACTTTCTTTTAGTTTTCGAAGCAAACTTCAGGGAATTTATTGTAAGCCTAAGTATAATCCCTTATATAAAAAGCTCTAAATATAGGAGACAATAAGTTTATCGAAATGCCTGAAATGGCTAGCTTAACGCTCATAGACCTAATGAACGTTTTTGAAACTAAATAGTAATTGTAAGCCTGGCATGATGCATACTTTTTGTGCAAATGCTCTCGTATCGCGTAGCATTAATTACTTAAGTTTTTGTAGCTGTATCACTCACTAAATATCTAGTTGGGAACTGACCTTGTCAAATGACAATGTTTTTGTTTGTAGCTAAGAGCACCATATGTCTCTGAGGCGGAATATTTGGATGCTCGAAAATGATTGTCGATGACGAGTGGCTGCATGCATTCACAAAGAAGGACAAAATACCTCGAACTCCTCCTTCAGTGGTAGCAGAATCGCTCAGATTAAGCTTGGCTAATAGTAGAGAAAATTCCGTCCAGAATGAGATGAGCACGTATATGTTTCAGACAGATGAAAATCGGCCAAGATTTATTGTTAAGTGGAATGACGCTTCCTCATCTCGGTACGCCCTATTCCTTTTATGCTTTTTGAGCTTTATAATTTGATTAATGTAAACCGTTTACGTTTGATTAGCCGTTTTCATGTAAATCAGGTAGATTCTTAAAAAAAATTATTGTCTACTCTCTCTCTTCGCACTACTTTGCACGGCCAAGGTTCTAGTTATCAGTTTCTTAAATTTTAGAAAAACAAATTCTATTCAAAGTGTATGCAATTCAGAGACATCGTTTGTAAAGTCTGAAAACACAGAGCCTTTGCGAGGACCAATCAATTCGACACCATTCCAGGCGTCAAGTTATGCCTCGGTAGAACCACAGACAAAGTCTCCTAAGCGTACTGAGTCATCGATCTTAGAAACGGAAGACGGTGCTCGAATGACAAAAGGTTCATCGGAAGCGTCTGATACGAAGCCAGATGTAGCTGGCTACTCCACTGGGCTCTCACATCCAGAGTTTAACGCTTGTGACAGAGAGGAGACGTCACGTGTTGCACAAAGCCCTGCTAGAAGTACCAATCTGGAGTTCTGTCAGTCGGAAGATATAGAGGCCATAACTTCCTCATCAGATGGTCTTCCATCCACCGTGTCGACTTTCGAACCTCCAGTTACTGCTGCCGAAGTCGCTTGCGTTCCACGATCTAAAGAACCTTTTGCGTCTGAGGTACGAGTTTTAGTGTTGTATGCGCACTTTAGTTCGTGCGGATAAGGAATGTTAGCCAAGCACTTATTTCATTATTTTTGTGATCTTTACGAATCTAATATCCCTACTCCTCTCTGTTCGAAAAAAATAACTTGTAGGATATCAGTTTGCGCGGTAAATTTGGTTGGGTAGAATATAGTTTTCCCAGGTAGCAACGTGTCTGCCAAATGTAGAAACAGGTCGTTTGGAAATCGACGCAGTGATCGACTACTTAATGGTTTACCAATGCACAGCGTCTGTAACTTGGTTGAATGTATTTGCTCGTTGCCGTTTAGATGAACAGTTTTGCGAGTACCCCAGAGTGTCGTGATGCGAGAAGCTGCCATTTGGAGCCCACTCGTGTAACCGCTAAACGTCGACGTGTTCCTGACGACTCGGAAACTCCACAAACTTCCCCCAACAAAGTTCAGAATCAGCCAGTGCCGCGAAGCCATCGCAAGCGTCTCAAGCATCCAGCTGAAACGACTGTGGACGCATCTAAACCTATGTACAATTTACGTCACACGGCCTCGCGTCTTCGCACCAGAGACACTCCAAATGATCCCGCCATCGTGTCAAGTGTCCGGGCGGCTGTCGTCGTCGATGATGATGACGCCGCGACACAAGCGGTGAAAAAAAGAAGGAGGAGAACACGACGGCAATCCAAGGTTGGTTTTGTTGTTTCTGCGTCGAGTGGGGTGGTTGAGGGTTACACAGGTTCACACTATAACGTTCCCGCTCCTTTTCTGGCGTACAGCTGATTTATGCTCTCAGAATTGCCCCAAACATAGCTCGCGTTGTAATAAGAATTTTTCTAATCTACTTTTTCAATGACATACTTCGAGATATTAATAACACTAAATGAGTTTGTTTGGGGGATGTTTTTTGGTTATCGTATGAAGTATTTTATTGAGGAATACAAGATTTTTTCTAAATCTACTTGTTATTGTCTCTCATTAAAAGTATATTGATGTCAATGTGTGGTTGGCTTGGATACGTCCAAGTTATCTTTTAGTTTATTAGTTAGGTCTTGTGATCTGCCACCTGTAGTTTTCACCTTAGAAGAGCGTGCTCAAACCATCCCTAATTTCGTTTGACGAAAATCCACGCCTCAGAAAGCTTATGAATTCAACAGGGCACCCTGATTGTGTTTTAGAGCTGTACTTTTACTGAGTTTCCAGTTAAAGTTAATTTGACATCCTTTTGTTTTGTCGTTACTTTGATAGTAGTCTTTTTATTTTTAGGTGAAGGCGCGAGTCTGCATTGATGCTGATCACGAAGTGTAAGTTATGGGAGAATGTTATTGCTCCGAGTTGTCCCAGGTCAAAATTTAATCGTCTTAGAGCGTAATACTCCTCAATACTACAGCCATTTGATGACGCAGGGGTTAAGACGTAGAGTGTGTGCAGTGTTCTTCGTGCGGCTGTTGGTTGCTCAGAAGTAATGTTTTGTATCTTCTTTTTGCCTAGCAGTCCACCGAGGCAGGCCAACCGTCGACGGACTCTGCGAAACGTGCCGCGCGTGAATTACGCGGAATTGTAAATTATCGGGGTACGTTAGTGTTGTGATTTGTGAAGCCTTCAGAGTTGGTAAAAGCGGGTGGTGTGACTTGACCTAGCGAAGGCGGAGGCGGCGGCGTCGTATTCACCCCGGTGGTGCCCGCTTCCATGTTAGACTCGGGCTTCGACATGAGCTGGGAAACTGGCGTGCTTGTGTCACATGACACTGCGGTGTTGTGTCTTGGTAGGGCTATGGTTGAACTCGAACTAGAGCACCAGCGATCATACCTGTTGTCAACTATGACGTAAAGTAGTTCAATGAGATTTGTGTAGTTTTGGGGAGAACTGACACGTCAACACAAGCACACAGCAGAAACCGCGTCCTCCATTCTGTTTTTTGAATATGAGAAATAACTATTAATTCTGTCGTTTTTTTGTTTGTAGGTGTGTCTACGTGGACTGTGATTCTAGCACCCTTTTGTATGCTTTTAGAGATACTTTCTTTTTTATGATATTTACTACGTTACCCATGACCTTTTGCTCGCTGGGTGGGTTGGTGATTGTGTGCTGTGAAATCAGGTTCTGTCTCACCATTGGCAGTACAAGTCATTTTCAAGCTGGCGTTAATCAAGGGCTGGTTAAGTGCGATAATTGCAGTGCAACTTGCGAATCCTGAAGTTGGATTGGTGTGAACATCACTGTGTTACACCGCTGTGGGCCAGATAGTAGTCACAGAATAGGTGTTAGGGTGTCGTGGCTTGATTCCCTGTGTGTCTTGTGTTTACTTGGTCAAGACACGTAAAATCAGTGATCAGCAACGACATTATTATTGTAACCAGCTACAAAAGAATACGGAGTCGGACATGTCCCAACATCATGAAAACTGGAGGAATCAAAAGGTAGAAGAGGATGTGTGAGAGTTAATTCCTATGCTTTCGAGGCAGTACAGACGTTTCATGCGAAGGGGTATTAAATCGTGGTCGACGGTGTTGCCTGGATCGCGTCGTTACTTCCTTGTTTATTCAAATTTAACTGGCTTGGCGGTTCGCGATTTGCTATGTGGCACTTGAGGAAGCTTGCCAGATATCCAATTGGGTCGCTTGGGCGTTTCAAAATCACATCTACTAGAGCCTCTGTCAAAGCTGCTCCAAGATGCTCGCGAAGGTAGTTTTGGTCTTCTGCGCCGCTTTCCAGATCCATGACTGCAATCGTTTAAAAAACGAGTTGAGTGCATTATGCAGGCGACGTGTGCGTCGACAGGTGTCATCTTCATGATTACAAACTGCCGAATTCTATAAAGGTGTTAGTAGAGACTAGAAGTGATGCTAATTCAAGAGGTCCTATTTGATGGTAAGACGGAGAACAAAACTATACGATTGCTACCGTCATAGCAATGGTAGTTTAAATTTTAGTATTAGGAGGCGGTCAATACTTTTGTTCGAGTTAATGAACTGCAAGATAGTAGCATGCTGTTGACAGCACGTTTCCCAGAGTGAGTAAGGAGATGACCAATATTTCAGGCACTAGCAATTTTGGCTTGGGAACACCTGTAACAAATAGCCTCACTTTTTAAGTGTGGGTTGTCCTTATGTTTTAATAATTGGCGAAAGTTAGGCTAACAGTAGAATAAAACGACGGAAACAGACTCAAAGGAAACATAAAGGGTTGTCCTCATTAACACTGTTTCAAAGTAGACTAGCGAAATTTAATTAGCTTACGGCCTATTTTTTTAACTGACAAAAAAAGTGCTAGCGGACGGCAGATAAGGAATGCAGAACAAAGTGAATGTCAACAGGAAAACATGGTATGTAGTAATAGTGGCTTACAGTAACTTTCAGGATTGTATCACATGTTTTTCAATTAGAAAATGTGACTAGTTAGGATTAGGTCTCATAAAATTACTGCTACTGAATTTAATTCAAAAAGCGGGACGCAATTTTCTGCAGAAGCATATTATCCACACTGCTATCGACAACCAACACCATTCAGTTAATTTAACCACTAGTTACTTAAGAGTTATAAGAAAGAAGAACAGGTAGTAAATCACACTGACTAGCGATATCTAATCATCAAAATAGAATCCGATGTCAAGAGTCATCTAGACCGTGATAACAAAGAGGGGAATCTCCCACCCACACGAACAGACAAAACTACTAGTAGCATTTATTACGCAAGGCTTGGTAATTTTTATGCAGTCAAAATTACATGTAGCTGGGCATTATTAGGCATTATGACAGTTGTTTAAAGGTCAATCAGTGTATCTCTAAAATTTAAAATTTCAAAGTCTTTCCTGACACAGGACGCTTCTGCTAGAAATGATAAGTTGATATGCTGTATATAACCGCACACATAAGGCAAAAGGCCCACTTATAGAAAATTTAAAATTAATCAACTTGCACTAAAAAAGATTTAATCGAAATCCCGCGGCGTCTCTCAATCGGTTTTCTTTTTTAAAAATTAGCCTACATAAATGTGGTCTAGGTCACAAATCAGAAATCCATTTCCCTAAAGTCCAACCATTGGACACCGTGCGTACAACACCTACAGTCTACCATCCTTTATATAATGTTTAAATAGAAGTATAAATCAGGATTTGTACATATGTGTAGTTAGATAATTAACTTGGAAATCACAATGGTTGTGATTTCTGAGCAGAATATATGGTAGCAGACAAATTAATCCGATAAGATATAAAAATTATGTGTTATTTAGTAATGTAAATGAATCTTTAACACTAAAATGTTTGCATCTTAGTCGAATGTGCAAAAAAATGTAAACATTAAATGGTCTGCTTTATATCATCAAATAGCTGCATTATAATGTTGCTATAGAGAATTTTGGCCCCTATTTTTTTCTAGGAGTGCATTAATTTTTAAGTTACACAAAATTTAATGGAAACGTTTGGTGTAATTTTTTTCCAAATATATGTGGTTTGCCTCAAATCTGCATGCTTGATAAATTTTACGAATGCGCTCACATCTAGCTGGAAGATTGGACAAACATTAAATATTTGAAAACTCAAGGCATTGTGCGCAACTTAGAATGTGGTTGGAAGTCCTATTAATTTAACGAAACACCATGTAAATTTGCCTGCATAATTTCCTCCTTTTCATTGTCGCCTTCAAAGAGATGACAAAAATACACGAAGGCAACCCTTACACAAAACTGTCAATTGTGGGATGTGATAATACATGGTAGAAGTATGGTAAGGTGCCACTCAAGTGTATGAAATCAGATAATAGTGGTTTTATCGATTTCAATTTCACGATAATTGTAACATCTAGTCACTATTATCATACAAACTTACTTTTTATTTCTGCCTTTTTGTAATATCAAATAATTATTAATTTGTCATCCAATAAGGAATTGCTAACTACTATAATTCCATTATCTGTGAATCCTATTATTGCGGTCCGATGACCGTTCAAAAGAGCCAATTATGCTCCTGGAATGCGACGCATTTTTGCGCAATTATTGGCTTACTTAGGACTAGAAGAACCCATTTTAACTTATCTTCCAAGTGGCGTTTACTTCATTGTGCTAGTAGTTAAGCCCCCTCTATCTTGCCCGCTTCATAGGATTGACTTCTAGCCAGTACAATACAGGGGGCACAATTATCTGATAAATGGCTGGAAAATTAGCAAGTAACTTGAATTGCCTTGATGTTTATGTTTTTCTTTGAACTTAAACAAGATGTAAAGCAAAAAACTTTTTGAATGTGAGTACCCATTTAAAAGAACTCACATTTTTCGTCTAAACTGTGTGATGCACTGATTTGCAAAGCTTCCAGTGTTTGATGGAGATTAAACTGGTAAAGCGATTCGTTGGTGAATGATTTCGTAACAAAATCAAGATTACTGAAGTAAAAAAAGCGTTACCGTGGTACCTGCCCGTATACTAAACAGCGACTGAGATTTTCATATGGGTAACATGTGCGCACATGCTTGATGGCTTACAACACACTTGAAGGCTATGCCTTTTAAGGGATGTGACCACACTTGACAATCTATTCTCTTGTCGAATTTGAAATTTGTTTCGCTTGATAGTGAAATGCGGCCCAAACACACGCAAGTAGTCGAAATCCGTGGAAACTCAACGTGCTTCTAGTCGCCATAAATTTGATTGGATTATGCTCGTAAAAGGCCTCAGATTGGTGGGGTTCACCTTCTCTTTTAAGTCCATAGGTGCGTCTATGTGGACTGTAATGTTAGTGCCCCATTGTAGTTACCTTTTTTCCACGACTCAGGTTTTTTTACCTCGTTCTTCGTGGCGTTTTACTCTGTGGGTGGGTTGGTAATTGTGTCGTTTGGGGTTAGATTCTGTGAGGCCACAAACTTGGTGGTCAAGTGCCAGAGTTGATAGGTTACTAAAGCAATAGCCTTGGTTGACTGTAACCACGACCCGTGTTCTGCGTCGTTTACCACTTCAATGATAAACGACTCTTGGTCGACTTCTTCTGCGGAGCAGTTCTGAACATGCATTGAAATAAGTGGGTAAGTATAATCCATTATGAAATGTGTTAAGCAATAAGTTAGGCAATTCGAATGTTTTTTTAGATAGTTTGTGCAATCAAATTACACGATTGTGTTGCAGACCTAGGCCTGTGGCCTCGAAACACGCCATGGCAACTTCGTTGCTATTAACCCGATTCAGCTACCCTGACACCCTCGAAGATGAAGACAACACCGTTTACTAAATAGCTAAACGGGGTTGTTTTCGGTGTGTTCTAATGGCGTTTGCGTGAATACATCCATAGCTTCGATGTGCAATTGAGCGTAAGTCATAAATCTGCTATTATTAAGACTTAGAGAGGTGTGGTATTAAACATCCGTGCCAAAATTGTTTGAATTAGGTTCCCCAGGGCTGACGGTATGCTGTGAATGTCAAAGAATGGAGCCACCGTGTTAAGAATCATGAATTAACACTATTCACAGTCAGTTAAAATTCCTCGGACACTGCTTAATTGGCTCAATGATTGCCGTATATATTTTGTATCATCTGTTAGTGCAAATTGTCAATGTAGTAAAATAATGTATTTCACTGATATGAATAAACCTGTCAAGTGCTAAGTAGCCCATTGATTTGCGACTTCGCTACGTTACCACGCATTGTTGCTGAGTATAAAAAAGAACCTTGACGTAACAATGCGTGCGTAGTAGTAAACAAGCCAACAAGTTCGTCACGTCATTCAATTATGACAGCAAACAAAACAGAAGTGCACTGGGGCCCATGCTGTGTCCACACAAGCAATTTTAAATGATTCTGTTGCCCTGATCCTGCGCAGTATATCCTTCGTCAAAACAGTTCTC